GGCAGACCCTGGGGTGCTGGAGTTACCCCCCTGTCCAGCTCCGTGGGGAGAGAGCCTGCGCTCGGGGAGGGCGTTTGCTGTCGCCGTGGGGCTCCTGTGTCCCCGTCCCCTCCCTCCCCCAGCTGGCCTGGCTCCTCCTGCGGTGATGGCAGCTTGGGCGACTGAGCTGGGGTTAAAACCGACCCCATGATCTTGCTCCAAAGCCGGGCGAGGGTATTTTTAACCTGTATCAGTTCCCTGAGTCACCCGGACCTGGCAAGCAGCCGCCTTGGCACGGCCCGTGGTCCCGGGGTAGCTGGCCTTGGGAGAAGACGCCACCCGAATGGGCCAGGGTTGGGGATGCCTCCGGGGTGCCCCCCATGGATGCTTTTCTCGGGGGAGGTTTTAGCCTCAAAGTTTATCTGGTGGCCTTTGGACGCAGGTTGATGCCCGGTAGCTGTGTTTGCAATCCAAGCCCCCTCCAGGCTGCAGGAAATCCCTGCGTGCGTGGCAACGGCGAGGTCTGGTGGGGGAAAATGGCCTTTGGGATAGGCAGAGTTTAAATGTGCCCCGAGGAAACCGGTCCCCACGTTTGTATCGTGGAGCACGTCAGCTCCATAGCTGCAGAAGAGATGTCGCCGGCATCCGTCTCCTCCTGCTTGCGCCTTCGTGGCCTCCCTCCCCTGTGGGTCTCTCCCCCCCCCACCCCTGGGAAGCCTTGGCAGCTTAACGTGCCATACACCCAGTTAGCAAAGCTGCTACCGAAAGATGCTGAAATGCAATCATTTTGCTGCAGGCAAAGTCTGACCGAGCCCCTGTCCCGGGCAGCAGAAGCGTTAGGGGTGCTCAGGCTTGCCAAGCAGACAAATTCCTGCTTGGAAATCAAGGATTTATTTCAAGTTACTACAAAATTACTCCCAGAACAGCGAGTGCGTTTATGTATTTCAAGCTACTACCAAAATTACCACTACTAAAGCAGCGCGTATCTGCGCATCGATATTAGAAGGTGTTTCGCCCCAGACTGGCTAACCGAGGGGGTGGTGGTAGGTTCGTGATCCCCGTGGGCTCAACTGAGGAGAAATGACACCAAACGATGGGTTAAACGTTTTCTCTGTGGTACAAGCAAGGTGAACTGGGAAAGCACAATGGTAGACGGGGCCTGGGTCCTACCGAGCCCTTCATGAGGAAAAAAAGGAAAGGGGGGGGGGGGAAAGAGATGTCACCAGCCTTGGATCCTGCGATGATGTTGACGAAGATGATGTTGATGAACATGGCAATCCTCCAGTGACAGGCGCATGCCCATCTCCTTGGAGTCGTCCCTTTTGCAGCCCCGGCCGTGCTGGCCGCATCCCTCCAGTTCCCACCTTCCGAGGACTCAACGCGACGCTTGATCTGCGTGAGTGCCACCGTGGGGGGGGCGAAGGGGCTCCAGGGCGGCTGTGAGCCCCATCCTCAGAAAACTCCGTGTGACCTCCGGCCATGGGTGGTGCGGTCTCGTGTCTTGCAGGGAGAGGCTCCCATTTTGGGTGGAAAGGGAGCAATTTTTATACAATAGCGACATGAGGGGGCGTAGGACACCACTGGTTGGAGCAGATGTTCCCGATGGTGGTGGCTGCTGTTTTTCTTGGCACAATTTTTGCTTTCCTGCGCTGTTTCTCCATGCCTCCAGCTGGTGTAGCCAATACCTGCTCCAATTCCTACTCTCCCAGACTGTTTTTCCCCTTTTTTTGACAGTTTTCCCCTTTACAAGGAGTTTGTTGTTGTCATTTTTGCTTGGTTTTGCTTAGGGCCAGGGTTTAGTGGTGGGATGGCAGGGTTAGGGCAACGGTTGGGCTTGATGATCCTAAAGGTCTTTTCCAACCCAAACGATCCTGTGAGTCTGTTCTATGATTTTGTGGTTATCGAGCGCATCCTGGGTTGTTTCAGGTTCCTGGTACCCAGCGCCCTTCACGGATGCCAGCTGCGCTCTTCAGGGATGCTCCAGCTCCCCAGGCTGGCAACACCCAGGCTTGCGGGCGTCTTTGCTGCCAGCATTTTAGCAGACGGTTTCTGTCGGTGTTTTTCCCATTCTCACCCTTCTGCGTGCCCGCTGCTGCCGCCAGCCCCCACCCGCGCTGGCGCGGTGTCCTTACGGCACGTCCCGCGCAGGACGGAGAGCGCGATGGCACAGGTAGTTAAGGACTGAACGTGAAGCTGGGGCGGGCTGCGGTGATCAGGGCTGGGTCAGGCAAGCGCTGCCAGCACACACCCAGCCCCTTTCACCCTTCTCCTCCCTACCCCTTCCCCAGCCATGCCCTAGGGAGGTTTGCACGGGGCCGTGTCCCCCCCTCAGATATCCAGAAGCCTCCTCCTCCTCCTCCTGCTCCCCACCCCGTCTCAGTTGCAGGCCCTGGGTTTGTCCTCCCCAACGCTCCGCCTGCCCGTTCCTGGTGGCCCATCAGCTGGCAACAGGAGATTTTTTTGGTCTTTGGCATCATCTCCCTTCGCCCCTGTCTGCCTGGGCTGTGGCTGCGTGCGCTTTTGCTTGTCCCTTCCCCCTGTGCACGGGAAAGGTCCTGGGTGGGATAAGGTGAGACGAGCTGGGACCTTGGGCTGGATGCAGCCCTGGCCCCATCCCCCGGGGGCCTGGAGCTCTCTGAGAGCTGTTTCTGTGGGTTTGTGGCTCTGTGTGGGAAAT